TATATATGTATTCAGTTGCTTTCATATAATTTCCAAAAACAAGGGAGTCAATAGAATTCAAAACAAAGTTCATGCATTTGTTAATTCTAGATGGAAGCATGAATGATAAAATGAATGATAGCATTTTATTTAAAAAAAAATCAGTTCAACTGAATTGAGAATGCTGCTATTTTTCAGTTGTAATCATCATCGCTCCCATGACCAAGTGGTCTTTACAGTCCTCACATGGTGGAAGTTGTCACAGGTGTGGCACAAAAGACATACGGGTTGATGTATTGTGCAATCTAAGTATACTAATTTCCAGACAAGACCTTTGCATGTGAGAATTTGCCTGCAGACAAGACTTCTGTCCAGAGGAACAGTAGCATTAACCCTCAATTAAATGCAAATTAGAGTAACACAGCAACTTTGTTAGTTGAGGATTGAGATGAACTGACATCAAATTCTGTTAGGCACTGAAGATAAGATCTACACCCATTCATCTGAAATCCACCTGTCAGTCTCACAGTCTGCTTATATAATATAATATAGAGATATAAAAATAGAATATGTGTAAAAATATATAAGAAGTATTCATATGTATTATTTATATTACTAAAGTATATGCTATTTGTCAGCTGTTTCCTTTGTGCCAATAAAATAACATTTTGAGTGCTGCATTAATTGCATTAATTTGTTGTAAAATCTTCTCTGCCTGTTACTTGCTGATTTTGATTGACACACGTTGCTTTTTGCATAGAGGTAGCTGCATGTCTCTACTGTCTTGTTGACTTAACAGAAATAATCTTGTAATGTTGAGCAGGTTCAATGGAGTGCTTCTTAGTGAGGGGTATATGAATTAAAAAAGATATAATACTTATCAGGTCAAGACATAATCATAATACAATACTTATCATTTTTCATTTGAAAAATTTAGATTTCCTTGAAATTACGTGTATCCATGGCAGGATATATCTGCACGAAGCTATGGTCCGTTTTCAGCACAAGTTCTTCTTGAACATCCTCTCTTCCTCTCCTCCAGATGGTTGTGCAGAAGCATGATAAATCTGATAAATCCCAAGGGTCTCAGAAATGCAGGAGCTCTTAAATGTTTATTCTTTTTGCTTTAATACACACTGAAGCACTCAGTGGGGGAGAACTTGATTGTATCTTCAGCAATCTATCAGATACAAAACAATTGTATTAGCAGGGCCATTTCATTTCAGTCCACAAGGCCTAATTCTACTTAAATAATTTTCATCATATTTCTCTTTTTGATATTTGAAAGACAGGTTCCTTGCTGTCCTGGCCGATGTTATGGTCAATGAATGTAGTTATGTTTTCTAACCACCTTTGACTGTCTTCTTTCCACTTAAAGAGCCACAAATTGTGTTAAATTAGA